TTCCAGCATCACAGTTTCGTGCTACTGATGGACCTCTGCAGCTGTGCTGATAACAAATCTTAGTATTACTAAGTTCCAGGTCCAGTAGAAGTGACAGGGTTCAGGGGGCAGTTTAGGTAAAAGGATTCATCTCAGTGCTTGGCACATGATTGGGTCTCCCTAAATGTTGGTGAATCACCTTCTGGGCTGGGGTCTCCAGGCCAGCTTTAATGGTGCACTCAAGTGATCAAGTACCTTCTTAATATGCAGCTGTCCTCCCATTTTATAGCTATAAAAACTGGGGCTCAGAGAACTTCCTGGGGTCCCACATGACATAAGCTCAAGCCACGGAAACAACTGCCCCATCATGAGGGTGGACATAGACAGCACAGGAGGAGGATGCCACGGGCTTCCTGCTTTCTTTTCTCATCCCACTCCCATTCATTCATTCACTCACTCATTGACTCAGTCATTCATTGACACGTATTTACTGAAAGCTAAGTACGGGTCAGGTACTGTTCTAGGCTCTGGGGCTATAGAAGTGAGTGGCCCCTCGTAGGGGCCGTGTTCTGGAGCATAGAAAGGATAGGATGCGGGGATCTACTGCAATTTAAATAGGGGCTGAAGGCAATCTCACTGAGAGGATGGCTCTGAGCAGACTTGAAGGAGGTGGAGGTATGCACCATGCAGAAGGAGAAGCAGACGGAGCCGTGTATGTGAGGGGCTGTGGTGAGATGTGCTAAGGGTGGATCCAGGAAGTCTGTGTGCCTGGTGTGGGGGACCGGAGTGCAGAGCTGGTGGGCAGGCCGGCCCCTGTGAGACGTGGACATGTATGCCATGAGACAGGTGAAGCTGCTGGAGAGTGGCTGCTGGGACTGGGCATTGGGAGAGAAGGGGAAATCTCTGTACATGGAAAATGATTTCAAGCCATCCCAGGCTTTGGGAGTTGCCTTTTCTTTCACCATTCTCCCTCCCCTCTAAAGGGAGACCTGAGACTTTCCACCATGAACTTGGAGTGTCCAGGGCCTCCTCATGGGCTTAAAACAGCAGCTGAGGAGGCAGGTGTTGGTTTCAGGCCTGGAAGGGAGCATGGTGATAAGAACACTTGCTTAAATTAAGGCTTGACAAAGCCTCTCCTGCATGATTGGCTCCTGGCCCTGGGTCAGTGGGGCTGGCCTAGAGCCTTCGAGGGGGCAGGACACACGGAGGGAGCAAGGTCTCACACTAGCTCCCTCTCATTGCCCCCATGTGCTAAGTAAGGCTCTCTGGGCAGGCCAGGGCTGAGGACAGCCCACACTGCCAGCCAGGATTCCCCCGGAGCCCTGACACTAAGAGTGAGCCTTGGGAATAAGCCGCTGACCTGGCCCCGGATGGGGTGGGGAGGCAGCGGCCAGGGCAGCCGTCTCACGTCAGGTCTATTCATAACCCAGGCTTTGCTCACAGGCGTGGAGTTTGTGAGTCACTCGGGGGCCTCTCCAGTGTCTCCCAAGGGGACGTCGGGGAGTTCGTCCTTTGCTCCCTTTTTCCCCAACTCCTCTCCCCAGAGACCCGGCCTCATGCCCGTTCTCTGCATGCCAGACAGTCTACACCGTGGGGGCCTTTCTTCAGCTAGAGCTCAGCTGTTGATCCTTGAACATGATTCTGGGTTCCCTCATGGGGCAGTGACCTCATCAGAGCTGACGTCCCTCCTCGGGTTTTTGGATCTCGAGATTTTTGTCCTTGCAAGGTCGTCCAGGAGTTCTGGGGTCTCAGCCACAGTGCTGTGCTGGATCCGTTTCCCAAATAAAAGTCTGATTTGTGGTTTAGTCACACACAGCGGCGTTTGGGTCAGCGATGGACCCGGATAGGACCGTGTTCCCGTAGATTGTCACAGCGAGGTGGGAGGCAGGCTGTCTCGTCCAGGTTCACGGGAGTACACTCTGATGCTCGCACAACGGCGGAATGGGCGAAAGGCACATTTCTCAGAACAGCCCTGTCACTGAGCAATGCACGACCATCTGCCAGTTTCTCGGGTGTGGACACTCCCGTGGCTCATGTCAGGCCACTCAGGGGGCACCGCTGCATGCAGAGTTGGACGAAGATGTTCCTGATGGGCTGTCGCGAGACGGTTCGGCCAGGCCAGCTTTACACCTCACCGGTTCTTAGGACGTGCAGCTGCCTAAGCCGTCTTCTTATGGGCGAGTCACTGAACGTGGCTATTTCCTCTCTCTCTTTCTTTTGTTTTCACTAGAGGACATATGTGCTCGCCAGAGAGAGAGACAGAGACAGAATCAGAGAGAGAGGGAGAGGAGGAAGCACCACTCATGGAGAATGGTCATGCTGCAATCCCTTCTCTTCCATCTTTCCCCCCTTCGGATTTTGGACACACACACACATAAACACACCCGATGGGGGCCAGCAGTTAGTGTAATGGCTATGTCACTGGACTCCCATGTAGTTGACCACGGTTCGTGTCCCGGTCCTGGTGGTTTAAAATTCACACCAGGCACATGTGCGTGCATGCCCAAGATCCCGAGAGGAGAATGGAGGAGAAGGGATTGCAGTGTGGCCATCCCCCCTGGGGGCTGATTTCTTGCTTTCTGTCTCTCTGTCTCTCTCTCTCTGTCTGGCGAGCGCATGCACCCTATAGCAAAAACCTCTAAAAAACAAAACAAAACAAAACAAAAACAAAAAAACACCCCATGTGTTTCTCAAGCCACCAGGTCTTGGACTCAAACTGCACAGTTAGCCATATGGAATGCAGCTGCTTCCCCCACCAGGCCACGGAGCCAGCCTAAAGGTGGCTACTTTCGAAGGTCCACAAAGCCATGGAAAACTCTTGCTCAATGGTTGCTCTGCCAGCTGGGGAGGAGGTAGGGCATCTCCCTGAAAAGGGCTGTATGGGGTCGGTGAGAGGCACTACTCAGAGGGCAGGCCCAGTTTGGAGCTAGAAGACAGAAGAGCTGAAGGAAGAAGACCACAAATTCCTTCCTCTACTAAGGCCTTGCTGGAGGTGGATTTCCCCCACTTGATTTTCTTCGTGGAGTGTTCTGTTATTCGCCCATTTGAGACCGTGTTCACATGGGTAGCCGTGTTCACATGGGTAGCGTTGTACACTTGACCTTCCTTCCCTTTACAGACATGATGAGCACCTTCCAGTATCACTGCAAACGCTTCCTGAACCTGCTGGGAGATAGAAAATGGTGCAGCCAGTTTGGCAGGTTCTTAAAAAAAAAAAAAAAAAAAAATTCAAACAGGAAGCTGCCATGTGACCCAGCTGTTCTACTCCTAGAAATCGACCTTCCAAATGAAAACGTATATGCACAAAAAGACACGCACAGCCATTCTTAGCAACATCATTCATAATGGCCCCAAAGCGGAAACAACTCAAACGTCTATCAGCTGATCGATGGATAAAGAAGATGTGATCTATCCATCCAATGGAATCTATTCAGCAACAGGGAGAATGGGATCCCCATGCACATGCGAATGTGCATGGATGACCATCATCGTGCAAAATGAAAGAGGCCAGATGTAAAAGCGCACATACTGCCCAACCGCACTTCTATCCATTGTCCAGAAAAGGCAAATCTATAGAGGTAGAAAGTCGATTCATGGTGGCCTGGGGCTGAGAGTGGGAATGTCCAGTGACTGTAAATGGGCATGAGGGATGTTTTTGAGGTCACGGTGATAACAATTTCACAACTCTGTAAATTTATTAAAAACCATCGATCGTACACCAACAGTGGGTGAATCTGATGGCATATACATTACACCTCAATAAAGTTGTTGAAAAACAATGCTTCCTAAACACCCTTTTGGACAGATTCATGACATTCCTTTGGGATGGATGTACTGTAATTGATTTGACATTCTCGTTATTGGGCATTGTGTCTGTGTTTTTGATGCTACAAGCAACACAGCAGTGAAAATTTCTGGTTTAGGATTACTTTCTCAAATTTGTTTTCCAGAAGAGGGTTTCTAGGTCAAAGGTTATGAACATTTGGTAAGGCTCTCATTAATGTGACTGAATTGTTTCCCCACCGCAAGGGACCCGTTGAGAGCTATGGTTTCCTGCCCTCGCCTTAATTTGTATTTGTTCCACAGTGCTAATCACCGCCTCTAAAAAGGAAAACCCCATTATCCCATGATGTTAGAAGTAAGATAGCGATTTTCCTTGGGGAACTAGAGGAAGTATGAAGAAAGTTTTAAGGGATTAGTAATATTCTAATTTTTGAACCAATATACCATTTACGTAGTGTTCAGTCTTAATTGTACAGACAAAGGAAGTTCTACATATGACATACTTGGGTAACTGTTGTTCAGATGATCCAGATGTGGGACATTTCCGTTGCTCCAGAAAGTTCCCTGTGTACTTTACCAGCCACAATCTAAGAACTCCTCTGACTTCTATTATCATAGATTAGATGTATTCCCTCCCTTTTTCCCCTCATATTTTGGTAAAGGGCATATACTCTTGCTGGAAGAGAGAAAGACGAGAGAGAGAGAGAGAGAGAGATCCCCATAGGGGGAATGACGATACCACAATCCCTTCTCCTCCATTTTACTTCTGGGAATGCACACACATATGCCTGGTGTGTTTCCCAAGCTGTTGGGTCTGGAACTCCAACTGTGCAGTCGGCCATGTGGGATCCAACTGCCGTAACCACTAAGACACTGGCTGCCCCAGATTTGCCTATTGAACTTCTTACGAATATAATCATATTTTTAAAAATCTTGATCAGGGTACTGGTAAAGGTGTATTTTTTCTTTTTGTGAGGGTCACTGAGCTATACGTTATGATTATGTGTTCTCAGACTGTATGCTATGCCTCAGTAAAAATATGTATATATTGGGGAAAGAGGAAAGGGTTTCAGGCCCCTGCCACTTCATGGTCAGCAACCTCCCTGCCGGGAGGTAGCCGTACTTAGCTGTGCCCTACCTGATGGGGTCTTGGTTTATGGCTTTGGTGGGGTGGAGTGGGGCTGTGTCCATGAGCTAACTTGTCTCCCTCTTCTCTCCCCTGTGTCTCTGTGTGTTAGTCTTGTGTCCATCACCACGTGTGCTGTGTGTGTCCGTAAAGCCTCATTCCGTGCTATCTAGCAGGGAGCTCCATCTCATCTCCTTTCATCTCATCATCTCACGGCCCTGACACTGTCACAGCATGGCCATCTCATCACGCCTTGCCCTCTGGGAGCAGAAGGAAAGTGACACTCGGGGCTGGGGCTGGGGCTGGGGCTGGGGCTGCAGCTGCAACTGCAGGGGCTGACTCTACCCTCAGGAGATAAGACATAACCTGGGTGGGCCAGGCTTCCCCCTCCCATCTGAGGAAGAGAGTCTGACATCCAGATCCCCTTGTGGCATGTCCAGACCGACCTTGCATTTTCTCCCTGCTAGCTCGGTTCGCCATGGCCTTTTTGACCTAATTGGACATGAGTGATTCAGCCCGTGACTCCTTCCATGGCCACCTGGTCTTTTTCTGTTCCTCACTTGGTGGTGGGAAAATGAGGGTAGACCAGCTGTCCCATCTCCATCTTCATGGCAGCCCAACTGAGCACTGGGGTTTGCATGGGAGGAAGAGCAGGATGGGGAGCAGAGTCTGAGCTGTTGGCCAGGTTTATGCTTCGGGGTTGGGTTTCTGTGGTCCCTGCATTCTGTCGCCATGGAGGACTAGAAACAGGCTCTTTCCCCTAGATCAGCCCTGCCCCCTCTCCCACTTTTTTTCTCATGAGCTACCATGAAAGTATCTCTTTCTCTGATACTTGTTATCTCTCCACCCCCATGCTACCCCTGTGCACGTGATTTGATGAGTTGGAGGTGGAAGAGTAAGGTTGGAGAAAAGCTTCTTTTTGGCTGCCTCTTGGCTGTTCCTGCTCTTCCTAGACTGCTCTGGGGGTAGCGCTGAAGGTCGTGTTGAAAGCAGCAGTGTGCCCAAAGACTCACACTCACTTAGGAAGTGAGTTTCAGTCCTATGTCAGGAAGAGAGAAGGAAGCGTAGTGACAAGTTGAGTCCAGACTCGCACGCTCCTGGGTCTCTCTGTTCCTGGGCAGAGAAATGCATGGACCAGCCTCATCCCACAGCGTCTGCAGCACACCCTGGTCTTTTCTATCTCCTTTGGAGTCCCTCATTATCAGCTGGTTTGCAAAGAGCAAGCCCTTTACCAAACATGTGCAGAGGACCTTGATAAGGAGGTTATTTTAAACCAGTGTGTATGTCTTCCATATAAAGCAATGGTGACTTTTTTTCTCTTATGAACAGTCAGTGATGTAGGTGAATAACACTCTCCAGTCACCCACAGCCAGTCCCATGTCTCAGCTGCCAAGATCTCTGTGGCCAACAAAGGGGCCTCAGCTTAACTCAAGTGTTGGCAGCTGTGTCCTGGCCACATTTCTGGAGGAAAAAAAATGCCAGGATTCAGACTGCCTGTCTTAGGACCCTGGCTGTCCAGGTCCTGGTTTAAGACCAGTGAGAATCCACAACACTCACTGTGTCAACTGAGGGGACTAGAGTTTATGTGAGGGTTGGATCCTCATATAAACCATGGCTGCAAGTTCTTCTCTAGGTCCCTATGTTTCTGGCACACAGTAGGAGATTCATCTGATTAACTGAGCGAGGAATCTGTTATATTAACTTTAAGCTAAAGTAGGGCAGAGGAGGATGAATGGTTTCCAGTGTTCCATCCCCTTCTAGAAACTGGAAAAGTTCCTTTCAAAGCAGGTCCTTCTAGGGATGCATCTGTTGCACATCTAGGAAGGGAACTAGCGACCTTAACAGTCCAAATTCATACCACAGAGGGGCTCTGTAGGGGCAGAATCACCTTGGCCGACTGCTGCTCATGCATCCCACTTCCACATGCTGTTTCAGGGCCTCTCAGAGTCCTGCAGAGCCTCACCTGCTTGCTGTGACCTTGCATACATGGGCTAGGTCATGTATGTCCTCCTTGACCCTGTCCTGGGTTCCAGCATCAACTTTCTGAAGTGCTACTTAGGCTGGTTCATTCACTGAGCTCTCTCCTTTGCTTTTGCAAAACAGATTCGAGAAGAGGACAAGAGCCCTCCGCCGTCCTCGCCCCCTCCCCTTTTCTCTGTCATCCCAGGTGGCTTCATTAGGCAGCTGGTGCGGGAGACTGAGAAAGAGTCCAAGGAAGCAAGACTGAAGAAACAGGCAGCACTAGCTTCTCCAGAACGAGAGGTAAGTGGCCCCCAGGAGGGGATCGGATCCCTTCTTGTACCCACCATCTAGCCCAGCGAACCTCCTCTGAGTCACTCCTGCCTTTTCCCCTGCTACCCCCACTTTGGGGAACACCTTTTCTTCAACTCAATCTCCTGGACTCCTCTGCATCCTTCAAAACCCAGTTCAAATAGTACGTCTCTGGAAAGTTCTCCTATGGCCCTCCTTCCTCTGATCCCTGCCTCACCTTCTATGCTTCTGTTAATTATGGTTGGTACAGTTGTTATTTAATCACATGGTTTATTGGATGAGGAGTTCCTTAAGAGCAACTTAAGAACAACCCTGCTTATCCTGCTCTGTGCCTTGAGTGGCTGTCATTGTGCTTGGCCCATAGTGAGTGCTCAACAAATGTTCGCTTAATGAATAAATGAGTGATATCAGTCAATGTCAAATTGGTACGGATCCTATTACCCCTATTTTTGCAGAAAAGGAAACCCATGTCATAGCTAAGGCATATAGTTAGTTGACTTTAAGCAGAAAAGATATTCAGTATCCACACAACCAGTGAGGAGCAGGGAGAGGCTGGATTACTAGGGTGGGAAGAAGACCCATGTCCAATGTCAGAGCATGGGTTATAGCTCTTTGCATGGCTCAGGCCAGGTCCTGTCCTCCCTCCTGACCTGTTGACTTGTCTGTAAAATGGGTGTGCTATGTGCTTCCTCTTGGCCCCAGAGCTGCACTGGTGGTTAAAATATCGCCCCCCTTCCATAGCAGGTAGTACGTGGCCATGGCCCCAAGCCCAGCCAGTGCCCTCCAGCTGCCACGATCACTCAGCCCCCTGTTTCCACCTTCAGTCCCTTGCAATGGTCACAGACTAATAATTAAAGGGCAGTGCTTGGCACAGGTAAGGGGCCCCTTTGGTGTCCCTTCTGATTAGTTGGTGTCCACTAAAAACCCCTAACTCTTTTGTCTCTGCTGGGTTGAAGCAATAGTTGAGCACATGCAACCCCTGTGCTGAGGGCTTGCAAACTCATCTGGTTGCAGCCAGTGTTGTTTCCCAGCTCCTGAGCTAGGGAACTCCCACAGGATGATGAAGCTAGGCACCAGGGAGGGAGGATTAGAGCACAGCAACCTTGGAGTATCACTGTGGTAGGCAGGAAGGGCATTGCCTTGTGCCTCTCGAGCGCCCCCTGGGGGCAAAGTGAATGAGCTGAGAGGCCTCAAGGCCTGGTATTGGTGAGCCTGATGGGCATACTGGTTCCGCTTGCCTCTCCCCATCAGCCTCCTCCCCAACCAGTCCCACACGTGCCTGCACCTGTCCAGTTCCAACAACTTTGCTGCATTAGAGAAGTCCTCCAGCAGCTGAACATCAGCAGCTGCTGAAATGCCCTTGCCAAATCTTAGTGTGGGGGGAGGAATATAGGGAGGATAGACTCTGTCCCCACTCCTGCCTGACTTAGGGCATAAGCGAGGGCCACAGCTGATCCCAGTAGGCTGTTGTTCAGTCATGATGAAATGTTACGGTGTGTGATGTTTATTGTTGGGTGCTGCTTACTCTGCTGCCCACAGGCTCATCTAACATGCTGTGTAGCACTGGGGTAGATGGGATTATATCCATCTACCAGAGGTGGAGACTGAGGCCCAGAGAGGTCAAGTGATATGCACAAGGTCACGAGACCAGGTGGAGGTAGAGCCCAGGTGTTCTCTGCTCTTGTAAGCTGCCAGTCTGGTGAGTAAAGTAGCCAGTGTAGTGAGTGAAGTGGCCAGTGGTGGCCTCAGAGACCTGGAAGGGAAGGGTTCCACCAGGCCTTAGGCTATGCTGTTGTCATTGCACACAAGTTAAGAAGCAAGAGTTGAGCGTAGCATGGATATGAGCAGCCACTGCAGGTCTGGATGGATGTTCAGAGCCAAGATGTGAGATGGACAGGTCTCAGACCACAACAGGTGGCTGGACCATGGGCCAAGATGTTCCTGGGGCTAGAGCAGAGGAGCCTCAGGACATGTTTCTGTGAGGCAGCGAGCTCTGGCTATTTCTCGCCAATTGAATTCTCTTATCCAGATTAGGAAATAACTCCCTACTCTCTTTTCTTGTCTCAACACAACTTTTTAAAGTTTGATCCTCTTACTTGTATAACCCTTGCAAGGAGCCATTCACATGCCCACTTCTGCAAAAATAAAAAAAAAATGAGGCTTGGGGAAGTGACCTGCTTTTCCTAAGGCCACACAGCCTTAGGAAAGGGGTAGGTAAAAGCTGAAATAATACTGGGGTAGAAAGAAACCCTATCTGGGACCAGCAGGTGTTGTGGTAGTTAGAACAGCTGGATTCCACATGGCTGACTGTGGCGTTCGAGCCCTAGACCCAGTGACTTGAAAAACCCTCCAGGCACCTGTGCATGCATGCCCAAAATTCCAAGAGGAGGATGAGGAGAAGGAAATGTGGTATGGCCATTCCTCCCAGAAGTGTGATTTCTCTCTCTCTCTCTTTCTCCCTGGCAAGTGCACACACCCTAGAGCAAAAACTAAAGACAAAACAAAACAAAACAAAACAAAACCAAAAAAGAAACCCATATCCAGTGTTAAAGAGATCTCAGTTATAACTGTGGTTGAGCTACTTTGTATGGTCCAGATCAAATCCCTTCCCATCTTCTTGCCTTGGTTTACCTTAAATGGATGTGCTATGTGCTTCCTCTTGGCCCCAATGATTCTAGAAATACTGTTTTTTCCATATGCTAAAAAGGTGCAGAGGTGACTAAGAGCTTTGATGACTGTGAAAATACAGAGAAAGAGGATTTATGGGAGTGTATGTGAAGTAGAGGGCAGGGAAAGGCTGAGGTTGGTTATCTTGTTTTGCCCATTCCTGTATTACTGTCTCTTTCGCAGTGGCTGGTTAAAAATAAGGCACTGACTCACTTTTCAAAATGGTGTAGACAGTGATGATATTTGCCAAATGTGGTCAATCCCTCTCCAAGTCTATGTCCTGGTTGACCCCAGAAGGTCAGATTGAGCCACTCAGCATGAGGACCAGAGTCATGGCTGTACATTGGAATCACCTGGGGAGCCACATACCACACCAACTGTGTCAGACCTTCTGTGAGTGGGGTCAATGTGTCTATGTGTTTTAAAGCTTCCCAGGAGATTCCAGGTAGTCCTAGAGAAATAAGAGTGTAATATGTGGTAGTTAAGGGCACTGGCTTTACAGTCAGAGAAGCCTGGCTTTATGTGTTGGCTTTGTCTTTTGTACCATCGAATATCTTTGTGTCTATTTCCTTATGTGTAGAATGGATAGATGTTCAGAACCTATGCCACTGGGTCCTTAGGATAATTAAGTAGGGCATTGCATGATAGCAATGTAGACCTTGTTATAAAGAACCTATAATGATAGCTGTTATTACTATTATCATTCTTATAAGAATGAAGATAGGGACTGTGCTCTTGTGACATCAACCTAAAAAGAGACACAAATAAAGACTAGAATGGAATGTCAAATGTGGTCATTGCTGTGACTGGCATATTTCTATAGTGCTCTGGGACTTGGTGGATAGGTATGGTGGATAGGTATCCTGAAACAATGTCTGATTGAGGCCTTCAGGCAAAGAATTGTAAAGAAGTGGACATTTGAGCTGGGTATAGAAAGATGAGTGGGCAAGTGAGGAAGGGAAAGGGCATACCAGACAGCAAGCTCAGCATTAGCAAAAACATGGAGGCAAGGCAAGGTCACGTGTGGTAGGAGGTGTCCAATACAGCCACAGTGTGGGATACTCAGGGACAGTAAGATCAGAATGAAGGTTGAGAGCCTCTTGTTAAGATCTTTGAATGTCCATCCTATGATGATACTGAATGATTTTCCTGTAGGGTGGGTAGCTACCAAAATTTTAAAAGTCAAGTTTAAAATGACTGACAGCAAATTGAAGGTATAAGAGTTCAGAGATGGTGGCCTGGATTTGGAAAAGGATACACTGTTGTGGAATCAAAATGATCCTGGGACTAGTCCAAATATAAGAGGAGTCAGAGACCCACATTTTAAACATAGGTGTCTATAAGACTATATTAACACTGTCTAAGATGGGTGAACCCAGATTGGAGCAGGTGGTGGAGCTGGACATCAAAGAACTATCAGCAGGATCTCTTTCTGTTGAGACAGAGCCAAAGCTGACCTTGTGAGATCTTAGGGCCACAGTCAGGCTGGTTTGAAGATGGAGAATTATGCAGGACTGAAGACTCAATGCAGTCAAAGAGCCTAAGAGCAGGCAGTGGAAACCTCCTAGGTATTATGTGGCCACAACGTCTTGCTAAGATAAGACTAGAGCACCCCAGCGTCAGAAACTAGGCCCCCCACCTGGTTGAGCAGTGAGAGATGGGGACCAGGGTAGCAGAGGTAGCAGTGGCTCGGTTTGTTTTGTTCCAAAGTGCAGTTCCACATCCCAGCCTATTAAACTTCTGGAAGGCCAGGTGGTACCTGCCTGCATTGAGGGAAAACCCACACACACAGACTAGATGTTGTCCAGGACCACCCAGTTGGAAAGTGTTGGAGTCAAGATGAGAACAAGTCTTCCAGTGACAACCCTGAGTCCTCTCTGCCCCAGCAGAGAAGTCAAGACAGAAACCACAGCAATAGCAATAACAAAAGCAACAGCAGCTACTCTTACTGAGGACTTACTATATGCCAGGCTCAGTTCTGTGTATTAACAAAGATCCACATTCCCCTGCTACACGGTAGGTCTCGATGATACTCCTTGTATTTAAATAGAGAAACAGACTCAGAGAGGGAAAGGAGTTCAGCAAAGGCCACACAGCTAGAGACTGATGGAGTTGGAGTTAAACTTAGTTCCGTCAGAGTCTAATGCCCACTCTCCTTCCACTCTGTCATTGGGCTTGAGGCTCTGGGCCCAGGCCCAGGGTGCTGGGGTTTGGCTCATTGCCTGGGACAGTGCCTGTGAGATCTCAGAGCTGCTTGAGGATGTTTGGATGGCTGAACGGGGAGGTGAACAACTCGACTAGTGAGTAAATCACAAGTGATGAAATGGTGAGGGCGGGAAACAGCTAAATGTGGTGTGGTCTCTCCCCCAGACACCAGAAATTCCCATCAGCCCACCCCACAGCAAGCCCGGCAGTGCCACCAGGCCTGGCAGCCAGCAGATTTCCCAGGACAGCCAGTCTAGCTCGCCCCTGAGCTCCCACACTCCAGGCAGGGGGAGCGAGGAGGCGGGCAGCCCTGCACCCATGACAAGCATCAATGGCGAGAAGACCCAGGAGCCGGGCCCCAGCGGGACACCAGCCAAGAAGACCCTGCCCTTCAAGAGGGGTGTGAGGCGAGGTGACGTGCTGCTGATGGTGGCCAAGCTGGACCCCGAGCAGAGGGCCCAACCCCACGACTCCCCCACGTGTAAAAGTCCACCCCCAGCCACAGACCCTGGAGGGGCAAAGAAAGGGGAGACCACAAAGACTCCCTGTGGCCCCAAGGCCAGCACTGAGGATTTGGCCCCGAAGACTGAGAAGGCCCAGACGGGGAGTCTTGGGGACTTGGGCCAAGGAACTGTGCTGACAAAGAGTGAGAAGGGTCAAGGCACACTGGGGAAGGGGGATGGGACCCCCAAAAACAAAGGGTCCAAAGGGGGTGAGCCTCAGGGCAAAGAGGGGCAGGTGGCCAGGCCTCCAGCCCAAGGACCAGCTAAGGGAGGGGAACCAGGGCCAGAGGAGAAGGAGGGAGGGGACCTCCCAGACAAGATGGAAAAGGGGACTCTCCCTAAGGATGCGGGGAGCAAAGGGAAGCACACTGGACCGCAGATCCTGGCAAGGAAGTGGGGACCCTCCCTGGCTGGAAGGAGTAAGTGGGATGGTCCCCAGAAAAAGAAGGACAAAGAAGGTGGGCCCCAGAGTAAGGCGGGGTCAGAGGAGCCTCAGACAGACACAGAGAGGACGGAGAGGACAGGTGGAGGGCGGGGGAGCAGGGGGCAGGCACGGGGAGCTTTGGGAATGATGGAGAAAGCAGGGGAGCCTCAGAGAACATCTGGGGAGGTGGGTAGAGCCCAGGACAAGGTCTCCAAGATGGAGTGGCCTCGGAGTAAGCCCAGGGAGGTGAGTGAAGCTCCGAGTCAGACAGAAAAGGCAGAGAAAAGCTGTAAAGTCCCAAAGGACGGGGAGTCTAGGGAGAAGTCACCGGACATGGCTGGGAAGGAGGGCCAGCCAGAAAGCAGAGGGCTGAGAGGACAGGAGCCCCATGCAAGAGAGGATGGTGGGGCCGGAGCCCTGGAGACAGAGCTGGAAGGACCCAGACAGCCTGCTCTGGGGGGCGACGCACAAAGGACTCAGAAGCAGGAGAAGCAGGAGGGGCCGGCTCTGCAGGAGGAGGCTGAAGGAGGCCAGAGCGGAGACTCGGACCAGGTGGGCCCTTCTGGGGAGAAAGAGCCACCTAGGGACGGACAGCAGGAGTGGACAAGGGATGGACAGGATTGAAGAGGGGTGGCGGGGTCGGGGGAAGCACCCACAGGCAGGGGTGATGGTGAGTGCTTCTTGCTGAATGAGCAGATGACCCAGGGCTGCCTCTGCTCCTGTCCTGGGGTGGGTTCTCCACAGAGTAAGGGAAGGGGCCCCAGGGTCAGAGGTGTCCCTTGCAGCTGTCATGGCTAAACTTACTCAAGATGTCACATGCCAGTTGTCAAACCCTGGGCAGTGTCTGAAAGGCCAGGGTTGGGGGTGGGGGCTGGAATCTACTTAAACAAGCGCCTGCCGTGGCCGGCTCCCAGGAGGTTTGGACTGAGGTGTCCCAGATCGCCCAGTGAGGAGCTCCTGTGTCCGCCCCTCCACAGGGTGGTGCTGGGGGGTGGTGTCATTTTTCTGGCTTAATTGCTGCGGTCTTTGCTCGCAGGCTCCCGAGGACAGATGGTACGAGGCAGAGAAAGTCTGGCTGGTGCAGAAGGATGGATTCACTCTTGGTAATTAGGGGTGTCAGCACCACCTGGGGGTCTGAGCCTCCTCTTCCTGACCCCTACTCCTGCTAGCCAGTGCCAGGCTCTGACGACTCTTGGGGTGAAAGAGACTAGGATGGGAGTTGGTGCTTTCTGGGGGGGTGGGCAGTAGATGGTCATTCCACCCTCGGCGCTGCTCTGCTGATGGTTTTCGAAGGCGTTTAAGCCTGGGTAATTTAATCACTCACTCACTGACACAGCAAGCACGTCCGGTTCCTATGGTCTTCTTCAAGGAGCTCGGAGTCCTGTGCAAGCGAGCAAATACAAGGGGATTTCAGAAAATTAAGAGAAAAAAATTAAAGTCCAAGTCCATTTTGGTGGGAAAAATTTTGAAACCCACACATACCTGTTTCATTATATGCATTCTCTATGAACTCGGTAAAGAACCATTGCAGATTTTATCTCATGAACTCACTTTTGTCAATTAGTTATGGCCAATGGCTTGTTGTAATGAGAAGTGATTCTGAGTCCTGCTCGTAACATGGCTGGGCAGCAATTGATTAGTGATGTCTGTCATGGACGCTGAAAGGGCAGCCGGGCAGCCTGTAAGCCGCTATCCAGCATCCCCGGTGTAGGTGTGAGATGGTCAGCGCATGCAGCCAGCTCGATGCCTGATCTGCCTGGCTCTGTGTTGGCTGGTAAAAACCCAGACCTCTGTCCTTGCCGGGTTTGGGGTCCTCATTAGAACTATCCACGTGGGAGAGAATGTAGCCCCTTTCTGACCTGTCCCAGGCTTCCTCCAGCTCCCTGGCCTGGCTCAGATTCTCTCCCTTCCTCTCCTCTCTCCTCCCTTCCATCTCTCTGGGCTGCTCAACCAGCTACGGTGCTCAAGCCTGACGAGGGAACGGCTGACCTGCCGGCAGGAAGGGTGCGACTTTGCATTGATGCTGACAAGACCGTCACTGAGGTGGATGAGGATCAGATTCATCGGGTGAGTCCCCGTTCCCCTCCCTGCCTGCTCTGTGCACTCCTTCCTCGCCTCTGCACGAGATTGCCTTGAACCTGGCTGCGACATCCCTTCAGCTTGATGTCCCAGAGGAGTTACAGGGAAGAACCCCACTGAACTCATTGCTCTGCTGGAAGGATATAATGAGGAAGCCATTTACTCTGTCCTGTGGTGTCCTCTTCATGAAGACACATCAGGAAGCATGATTGTCAGTTTCCAGTTGACCCCAGAAAAAAGACTGATTTTCATTTTATATGGATATTGTCAATCATGCTACAGAGCATGTTTCCCTTTTCACTCTGGCTGCCGAGGAGCTCAGAGCCAAGTTTGCTGCTTGCCGTTACCCACAGGATAGGCTCCCATGGCCTATATTTTGGGCATCAGTCTTTGTTTCAGTTTGCTTTTCAGTTGTTTTGCATACATTTTTGTAGCATACCGTAGATCCTTTTGAGGATAAGTCCAAGTACAGTGATGGAAAAGGTCGTGTCCTGTCTCCTTTTTTACCCCTCCAAGCCTAGTAACAAGAGGGAGTTTCTTCCCTTGCTCATCTGCCTTCTTTTTTGCTTGCCCAGGCCCTCTTTTCCCACTGAAGCAAAAAGTTTTAAGTCCACACTTACCTGCTGGCATGTGTACCCTTGGGAGAAAGCCTGACATGTAAGAGAGCTCGAGTCTGACCCACACCCCAGGTCAGGCCAGAAAACTCCCTGCAGCTGGAAAGAGCAGTAGAACACCCCTCAGAATGGGAGCCTCGTGGTGCAGCTGCAAACGTCCCTGCTTCTGTGGCAGAATCAGTGCGTGACAGGCGACCCGATGAACGAGGCGGTTTGCCTGTCGGCCTCCATCACTGCAGTCCCAGAGCATACCGGACGCTCCCCCATGAGACCCGGGAAAGGGGGAGACGGCCGTGGGCCCTCCTGCGCTCCGAGCATCGCTGGTCTCTCTGTGGTGTCTGAGACACAGAAAGTGCTCTGAGTCGTGCCCAGTCTGTGGTGGGAGTGTTTCCCCTCACGGTGCAGTGAATGCAGGAAGGAGGGACCGGCGTGAGGAGAGGGCTGACCCCTGGGTGGCACAAGGGGGAAGGAGAAGGAATGGCCCTGTTTCATTTCCAGGTTTCAGGCCCCCCTCCCCGTTCTTGTGTGCTGTCTGGTCTTTGCTATGTGGGTCTCCAGGGACGAGACCATAGTGCATGCACGTGTGTGTGCATGTGTGTGTGTGTGTGTGTGTGTGTAGAGGGCAGTGGTGTGGTAGAGACCAAGGAAGCCAGAGGTCGCTGTGTGACTGTTCGCAGGCCAACCCCCCCGAGCTGGACCAGGCTGAGGACCTAGCCTCTCTCATCAGTGTCAACGAATCCAGCGTCCTGAACACACTTCTGCAGCGCTACCGGGCTCAGCGGCCGCACACCAGCACGGGGCCCGATCTGATCGTCCTCCAGCCCCCGGGGCCCTTGGCGCCCTCTGCAGGGAAGGTAAGGTGGCACCATGAGGGCCTGGGGGGGAGGGCAGACCTGGTGCAGCAGGGGCAGGTGCGATCCCTGGGCATCTGAGGGAACGGCACAATGGCCACAGCCCCTGGTACACCTATCTGAGCAGTGTCCTGCCAAAGATGAGATTTTGAGGGTGCCAGGGGCATCAGGGGGTATCAAGGGCCACTTAACTCCTCACTCCCTCCTGGGGAAGATGAGTCGCTGGCGGCAGTATTACAGGTTGTGATAAGGATGCGAGAAGATGCTGCTGAGTGTTCGCTGTACCAGACACTGCTTCAAGCACCTTCCTGCTTTACTCAGTTCTCACATCCGCCCGAGAAACCAGGTCCTGTTACAGCCCATTGTACAGATGAGGGGAGCGGGCCAGGTCAGGTGAGGTCAGCGGCTAACTGCTCATGGTGAGCAAGTAGAGACGCTGGGATAAAACCCAGGCTGCTGGGCTCTCAACCCCTCGCGGGACTCTCGGGAGTTCTGAAAAACCATGTATGGGGTCATCGGAGAAGTCACAATGCATTTTTGCATAGAAAAATACATCGTGACTTTTCCGATGACCCCATACATGGTAAAACAGGGACTTTGTTTCTGCTTCAGTTTAATTTTTTTTTCTCAGAAAGTAGAAATGCGATGAGACTTGGCATGGTGGTTAAAGCAACTGGATCCTTGAGACCAGCAGATGGTATAATGGCTATGTTGCTGGACTCCCATGTAGTCGGCCGCAGTTTGAGTCTAGGACCTGGTGGTTTAACTCACACTGGGTGTGTGTGCATGCATGCCCAAGATCCTGAGAGGAGAATGAAGGAGATGGGATTGTGGCCATGCCATGATTTCTCCCTTTCTGTCTCTCTGTCTCTTCTGGTGAGCGCACGTGCCCTTTAACAAAAACCCCTCCAAAACAAAACAAAACAAAAAAAAAAAAACTGCAGCTGGATCCTACCTGGCCAACTGAGCAGTGTGAGTCCGGGACCAGGGAGCTTGAGAAACGCAGGGTGCATTTGCACACGTGCCCCAAATTCCAACAGGACCGAGAGAGCAGGGATTGCAGTGTGACCATTCCCCACTGGGGGGGGGGGGGGTCTTTTCACCTCTCTTTTTC